GCTGCTGGACAAGCCAATCCCATTACAGTTGGCTGTGTCCGTGTCATGTAGCACAGTAAAGGCTTGTACGACTGTCGACCTAAAGTACCAAGACGTCAGTGGCCCTCGTACTTTTGATATCGCAAATTTAGAAGCTTATGACGTGATCCTTGGAATGCCGTTCCTGTTTCAACACCAAGTTCTGTTAGGGTTTAACCCCCCAGAAATTAAGATAAGAAGTATCTTACCGTTACCAATCAGAGGCGCGCAGACTCAGGTGCTAGAATTGAAAGGGTCTAGTCCAGATACTGACGTGATTGAGTCATATCGACGAGAATTGCTTGCCTACGCAAAGGATATCTGCAAGGAAGCTCATGAGACTCCTCTCCCTCCCCTGAGAAACATCAACCACGTCATACCTTTAATTAATGAGAACGAAGTGTACTCGTGGCGGCAGTCTAAGTGTCCCGAAGCGATGAGACCACTGTGGAGGGCGAAGCGCGACGACTACATCTGGACTGGTAGATGGGGGTTTGTCAGTGGGTCCAATGCTGTCCCTATGATTATGATGAAAAAGACGACAAAGGATGGGTCATTGAAGCTGCATACCGTACTGGACACTCGTCAGCGCAACAAGAACACACAGAAGCTCGCATCCCCCCTGCCTGACATTGATACCATTTTGCACAATGTGTCGTCCAAACCTTTCCGTTCACTACTGGACAGTAAAGACGCATATGAACAGATTTGTGTTGTCCCAGAAGACGTCCATAAAACCCTGTTTGCGACACCTGACGGCACGATGATCAGCCATGTAATGCAAATTGGAGACTGCAATGCCGGTGCAACGTACCAGTCCCTAATGAATCACATTTTTGGCCTGTACATCGGGGTCTTCATGGACGTTTATCTTGATGACATTGTTATCTATTCGGACACTGCGGAAGATCACGTTAAACACATTAAAATAGTTATCGATACCCTAAGGGAGCATCAGTTCTACCTTAGTGAGCATAAGATGCAGCTCTTCATGAAAGAGCTTTGTATTCTGGGTCATGTCATAGATGACGCTGGGATCCACCTGGACCCTCATAAGGTTGACAAAGTTGTGAATTGGAAGACGCCTACTTCCAAAGAGCTACTCATGCAATTCATAGGATCGGTGGGTTACCTCGCCTCCGGATGCGAAGGCGTACGCATGGATATGCAACACCTCTCGAAGGTGGCCGCGCTGACCACTAAATGGTCCTGGAACCTGACTGATCAGCGGGCTTTCGACCTCATAAAAGATTGCATCGAAGCTCACCGTAATGTTCGGCGGAAAGCCATCGACCTTCCCCAGGCCATAACTGGCACCCTGCCGGTGAACCTGACCACAGACGCGTCCCTCACTGGCGCAAGTGGTGTATTGTCTCAGGGAGTGGACCCGACAAAGGCTGACGTCGTCGCCTTCTGGTCCGGTAAATTCAATGCTGCGCAACAGAATTACCCTGTACATGAACAAGAGTTGTTAGCCATTGTTGAGTCCCTCAAACGGTTCAGGCACTTACTCATTGGCCTCAAGTTCCTGATATTCACTGACCATAAGGGCCTAGAGTGGATCTCCACCCAGTCCAAACTCTCGCCTAGACAAACACGCTGGCTGGAAGCATTGAGTGAGTTTGACTTCGACATAACTTACCTGCCTGGTGAAGACAACGTTCTGGTGGACGCCTTGTCCAGAATGTACAGCAATGAGCCTAAAGGCATGGTCAGATCAGCAAGTGAATATGTTAGCGTAGAAGATGATGACTTACCCAAATCCCTGCTGCTGCACTTCATGACGGCGCCAGTCTACACGGGTACACCACTGTTCCTGGGTGCCACAGAGGCAAGACGTTCCACCCGTGTAGCTATGCAACGCATCAATGATGGTAGCGAAGGCAGCAAGCAACGTAGCACTCACGTCCAATTGGCCTCTGCCTCGCAGACTTCACCGGCGGGAGTACAAAAGGCAGTGCAGGGCACTACCCTGCCGACGAAGGCACCTGGCAAGCAAGAAGGTCAGCCAACGGCGCAAGGAGCCAAGCACTTACCTCCACAGCGAATAAGGAAAGTGACCCTGTGACTGGGTGCACCCCCAGTAGAGTCACTGGAGGGTGGGTTGGTAGACAGAAGACAAAGAAAGAGCTCAAACAGCGCACCGGCAAATAGACACCCACAAAGTCATGTGACAAACGTCATTGTCCAGACAGGGCCAAGATCCTTGGACATCTCCGATAAGAACCCAGACGAAACAATGCCGGGCGTAACAGCCCAGACCAATGACGTCAATGACATCACAGTCCAGACCTCATGTCAAATGACTTCCGAGCTTAATTCAGACCCAGCCGAAACGGCCGCAAAGCACATTCTCACTGAATCCCCCCCATCATTAGCCTCTGTTATTGCCCTAGGCGACCCATCTGTCGACATCCACAAGAGAACAGTCGACAGGTATCAAGAAGACAAGTTCTATGCTAAGATATTGGACCAGCCTCACGCATATAAGAACTTTGAGCTGAGTAATGGCAGAATATTCATTAAACATGACAACCATCGCGTCCTATGTATCCCAGACGTACAGATTGGAGACCGACACATCCGCAAGGTACTCATATCACACGCGCACTCTATCCTGGCCCATCTAGGCCCATCAAAAACGCTTACTTACCTTTGAGAGAACGTTTGGTGGAAGGATATGATAAGTGACATAAAGGCATTCTGTGAGTCATGTCCGACGTGCCAAACGTCAAAGCCAACTAATAGCCACCCATACGGCCTACTCGAACCCCCCGAGGTTCCGACGCGCCCATGGAAAATGATTGGCATTGACTTTGTTGGCCCTCTCCCCGAATCTCGAACCTTGAATGGCATGTTCGATATGATTTTGGTCGCTATTGACCACCTAACGGCTATGGTGCATCTCGCCCCAACTAAACAAATGTATCGAGCCCGCGACATTGTGGAAGTCATGTTTAACTTAGTGTACAAACTGCATGGAATGCCGTCTCGCATCGTTAGTGATCGGGACTCCCTCTTCACCAGCACCTTCTGGAAACGACTCCACGAACTCACTGGTACCGAACTCCGGATGTCGACCTCATTCTACCCCCAAACCGACAGCATCACTGAACGTGCAAATTGTACCATCATGCAGATGCTCCGACAGTGTGTCTCTCCCACGCAAAAAGACTGGGCCATCAAACTACCTTCCATTGAGTTTGCGGTTAACTCGGCGAGCTCTGCAACACGAAACTCTCCCCCATTCAAACTCATCTACGGCATGATGCCACCATCCATGATATGGAACACCAAGTGTGAGTATCTGGGAGTTTGCAGTCTTTGCCCAACGGATGAAAGACTCAGTTATGGCTGCCCACAATGCCTTAATCGCTGCCTGGGTTAAAAGCACGTCATTGTCGAACCAACGGCGTAAGGAGGCACCCTTCGTAAAAGGCGACCTCATTTACTTGTCCACCGAGAATATTGCACTTCCCAAAGGACGCGCACGCAAACTGGCGCCTAAGTTCATTGGCCCCTTCAAAATCTTAGACGACTACAAAAACAATGTGTTCCTACTAGATCTCCCTGCAGAACTGAAGCAGCGCGGCCTGCACCCCGTGTTTCATGCCCATCTCTTACGGCCACATGTACCCAACGACGACAGATGATTCCCCGGCCGGCAACTCACTCAAATTAGCGATATTGGTTGCCCGGAGGAATGGTCCGTCTCCAGAGTGACTGACCACCACGGGCAAGGCTCTAACTCCCTTTTTGAGATAGAATACTCATCCGGAGACCGCGTCTGGCTCCCTTACCATGAAGTCTCTCGCCTAGAGGTGGTCACCCAATATCTGGAGTGCCTGGGGGTGCCTGGCATCAAGCACCTGCCAAAGAAAATTTCGGGCCCCTCCCACGAGGTTAGTGTTGCTACCATGTATAATTACACGGATGCTTACAACGAGGTATTCGGACTTGTCAACCGACTACTGGTTGACCTCCCTCCTCGGATCAGGATTGGGTCCTCACAAGGAGTACTTAAACTCTCGGCAGGTCCTACCTCCACCACCCAGATTCCCCGCAGTTCAGGCTGCTAAAGAACTTGCCTCGTCCAGACTCCCCACAGTTCAGGTAGCTAAACCTACCTCGCCCAGACTCCCCACAGTTCAGGCAGCTAAAGAACTTGCACCACCCAGATTCCCCGCTGTCTCCCCAGACATAACCCCATCCCTCACTCACCAGATGGCGTCCAACGCTCCCAGAGGACACTTCGTCCGTCGACGTGGAGGGCGTATGTTACGCTGACCGTCAGTCGGCGTGTGCAAACTAGGATAGGTCTTCTCAGCGACGACTCGAGTGAGTCTACTGAAGCTGAGGGTGGTTCTCAGCTTGACGGAACGTCAAGGGTTCCTCCGGCGATCTCGGTAAGACGGCGCTCGTCAAGATGCAGGGCTAGCGGATACGTGCTAAGTCGTAAGGGGGCGACTTAGAAGTGCGGTCTTGCGCAAGGAAGCTGGGAAGCTTAGTTGAACAAGTTCTGGGATGAACCTAGTAGATTAAAGTAAAGTCTAAGTACAATAATCTGTCTACTTATATGTGCTACATATAGGTATTCTAGCTCAGTCTGTAATCAATGGTATATCTGGGATCTATGATAACAAGACGTGAGGTCAGATAAGATACATGAGGCTTAACCTCTGATCAAGCATGCAGCGCCAAGTGCGACTGTGCATAGGTACATGAGGCGCCAAGGGCGCTCCGGATCTTCATGAAGCGACATGCGGTATGCATGCGCTGATCTAGGGTGACCATGAGGCGTACAGCCTCCATGGATCAGGTACAAGGCCATCTAGGCCAGGGGCGGGGTCATAGCGCCAGGGGCGGCATCACAGCGGTGTAGACCGCTGTCTTTCTAAGTGCAGGCGGTGTTCTGCTGCGTCGGGAGTCTAGCAGGGCGGGGGCTGGCGTAGGCAGAGCTGGGGCTCCAGTAGGTGTTACGGATGCCTGTAACATGTAGAGATCAGGGTCAGTTTCCTCCGCCGGACCACCCCAACTCTGACGCCCTCAATGTGTTCATGCACTTCTTCGTGGCCGAGGCTCAAGCTAAAGAGCTGGCTACCAGGAAGGAGGCTCACGCATTCAAACAACGCCTCCATTCTGAGCGCGACCGTGACCAGGACTACCGTCACCGCCCACATGGGCGCGATCGCAAGCTCGAAAGACATCATCAGCGTGAGGCCACTCACTTTGCTAGCCGCCGGGCGCTGTCTTCCCTTCATCGAATGTTGGACAACCGCCCTGTCCACAGACATGACCTACCAAGGACGCAACCTCATGAGGTTCCCCTTCCCCAGTCCCCTTCCATGTCCATCACGCCTCCTCCTTCTCTACCATCCCCTGCTTCACCTTCCCCCCCTGCAGAACCTGCAGGTGATCTTGGCGCGGATATCGACTCGCTCATTGCCGAGTCCGAGCAGATGGACTTAGAGGCCGAAGCTCGTCGTCGCGGTTTCACAACCGAGGAGCTTTTTGGTAGTGTCGTCCTCCTCGGATTAGTGACTATTGTTAACATGTCCCTCCTCGTTCTCCTAGCAGCTATGGGCACCATGAACATTGAGTCCGCTCCCACCTCTCAGGCTTAATAGGCCCTACCGAATATTCAACAGGTCCCCTTCAGAGGACCTGGAGGGCATATGTAGTGTTCCTAAAAGCCTTCATCATTACAAGGCAACATCTTCCCATAAGTTTTCTCATTTACTTTATTGTTCCTTACTCTACAGTATATAAGGCCCGCATTATCTACTGTTAGAGTAGTTGATCTTACCCCCCCCCCCGAATAACATTTAGTTCGGACAGTTCTCTCGTCTGAAATAAGTCTATTCAACTATCGACTCTATCGTGTGAACGTATTTGCATACGCCACATAGTGCTACTGCTGCGGCAACACTGCGGTTCTTTGTGCATCAAATACACTTACTACTAACTGTATAGCGTAAATTTGGAACGTCGCGGCAGATACTTATATACCGCGCAGCAGTCGCAGCAGTGGTGCAGCATTTTCCTAGTGCCCGTAATATTTCGGAAATCTCCCAGATACATATTTTCTCCAAAACACCGCGATCACAGTCAAACTATCAACGATATATCACCGGTTCAACGCAACCATTGTACTAGATATGGTGAAAGGTTTTGATGATTTTGTCTCTCACCAGAATGATATAACCCCTCGAGCGGCGAGCGCTAATCATCAAATTCAAATCAACCGCTGCTTTAAGACTACTGTTCGGCTGCCCATTATCTTTGGCACCTTGCAATTGCTGCTTGCACTATCACATAACATCTGACTACACGTTGAAGTCTCTCACATGCCTTTGGCTACTCGCATGTTTCCTGTCTCGCGCCGTCATGTATTCTATTACTTCGATAGTACGCAAATTAGTACTAGACAGCACTTCAAGGCTCAACGACAATTATGATCGCCCATTGCAACACAAACTCACATTCTCATTCGATTCTCCTTGGCTAATCCTCGCAAAGTATTTCGCGCAAATAAGTACGAGGTACAGCTTCAGCTGCTGCTGTGTATTAGGTTGAGTGGTGAAGCTGTGGAGAGCCAATGGTAAGTAGTACATGCACGAGGCATGTGCATCCTGCTGTGTTGTGCACAGCTGCCTAACATTATAAAACTCGGTACAGTTCTACCTTTGTTCCCTCTTACCTAGTATCCTCTGACCCATCTGATCAAAATGCCCCCTTCGCAACAGGTCAAGGATTTCGTCAAGGATTTGGGCAAGGTCTTTGCAGTTCGTTTTAGGCGCCCCAAAATGAACGGACCCAGATCGACAACTACCGATCATGATGGCAATGGCTCCATCCATGCACAAACCACCAGCGCCTTTTCTTTCCTTCCCCACCAGTACACTCTGCAAACAGCAGAGAACCAGGTCTCGAATCCTCCACCAATGTTCCATTCGCTAGATACTCTAGGAGTGTACCCCTTTCGCGCGAAGCTTTCGACATGGCTCAGCTGGTGCTGCCCTTGATACAGAATGTCATAAGTGCAATTCCACTTGTCGGTGCTCCGATGCAAGCGGCTATTGGTGGATTATTGACAGGCCTTCAAGCTATAGATGTGAGAGCTTGTATGAATGCGAGCCAGTTTCTTGATTTCAGAGATTGCTACAGAGACGAAGCCAAAATCAGGCGGACCTCAATAGCCTGATCTTGCTACTTGATCGACTGAGCCGCGAATTATGCAACGCCTCGCCTTCCTCGGATCCTGTTGAACAGTCCCGAAGAGATTCCTTTGCCAGGTATCCACGTTATTGATGTATTTTTTTATTCACCTTGACATTGAGTTGCACTCAGAATGCTGCAAGACACCTCAGCCCGAGTGACAACGTTGCGTGAGCGCTGTCTTGCATCCACACTTGTCACACAAGCTATCGCTGGATACTTTGCTGAGATCGACCGCTATCTGGCGGTGTATTTGGTAGTGTTCTATTCTCTAGCGAATGTTTGCATTCACTCACTACTCTGTTTGGTCAGTGGTCGTGTCAAATGCAAAGTCAACGTGAAGTACACGAAATGTTTGTGATTCTACAGAGGGAGCAGGAGGATCGTCAGAAATTCCTGCTGACAATCGAAAACCTGGTTGCCCGCGCACAGTCCTCTGTGGGACCGACTGCAACGCAATTAATTGGAACTGCTACACGTGGCTGTGTGACACTGATAGATGCAACAGGTCACCAATATCCAATACCGGTGGACTTCTGCACCTCATTTGAGGTACGGCTTTTACCGCAAAAACCCGTCTTGCAAAAGCATACTCATCAGGTTCTCTTCAGCAATTCAATGAGATGCTCAAAGTTCTCTTTAAACGCAACTCGATTGAAGCTCAAATCCAGAGACAGTATATGGAGAGCGGACAGTACGATTTGTGCATTGACGAAGGCATGCAAGTAACTCGACTTAATTCCAACGAATGGTCAACACTGGAAGTGGGCACGAAAGTTATCATGAGGGCCATCATCCAACAGCAGACGACATCATCCTCTGGAGTTTCCTATACATGTTTTTGTGGTGGGGTGAATCCCCTCGGCGTTGAGTCTATCATGTATTCGCTTGAACGGCAGGCTGGTTCCTCGATTGATTGGTGAGTATGCTTCAAGTCTTCTGGGTCCTGATTACGTCTAACAACTGGCAGTCGAAAGTGCGGACGACGGTTTCAGATTTCCCGCGTATCTTGCCCTGCAAAGCAGAGTTCTGGCACTCGATCGTCTAACATCGACTTTGATCGCAGAACTGACGCAGGGACGGACCTTATTCCCAACTTGCATATCCAGCAAACTGTATGTCGCATGAAATTGTAATCTTTAGCTGAATACTTAACAATCTTTCGTTCTCAGGAGATTTCAGTGCGTGATGTTGCCTTCTGAATTGTTTATTCGACATTGATCACGATGTCAGTCTCTTGACGGAGTGTTCCAGTGCCTGTGGGCGCACTGCAACCACATAATTTTCGGCTACCAAATATATCGTCACCTCCGTGCATTTCACGGAATTCATGGTGCAGATCACACGCGCGTAATTTGCTCGTGGGGTTACTGTAACACCAAACTGTACAAGGAGAGCCTCGTGCGACATGTGCAAGAAAAACATCTCAGAATTACATATTTTTGCGACACCTGCGACTGGGGATCCGCGCGCATATACAACCTCAAAGTCCACAAGAGAAATTGTAAGGGTCTGCAGCAGTAGATGTCAGTCATGACTTTCTCTTGCATATGACTAACACTAATTGTGCGATTTCAGGTATTGCTTCGGTATTTCAAATATTCAACCCAGATTCCAGTGTGCCCAGTTTCCAAAAAATTCTTACTTCGATAATCTTTTTTGCTCCGGCATCACGGTGTTTACCCATGGTATCTTTTTTTTTGGATCCTCGTTTACTGTCCTGTGGGGCGGAGCCCTATGGTGGACACTACCCCATGGTATCTTGAGTTCAGCTAGTGCTTCTATGGATGTTCGATGTTTCAGTCTTCCTGGCCACGAGACCATGTTTGGAGTAGCAAAATGGCTGCAATCGCGTCAAATTTTTGAAGTGCACGCCTAGTTTTAATACTCTTTTACCAGTGGTACCGCGAATAAGTTGTCATTTCTCTAGTTATGTGTCCGATGTGTTCAGGCGCCCTTCTATCTACCCATAAACGCCGACTCAGACATTGAATATTGAGACTGGAACCCGCAATTCACATTAATACGGCGCCCTCGATATCGAGCAGCCAGTCCGATGATGTAAGAGAAATTGAAGGAGGCTAGCCTGTCGGCTGAAGTTGAGAGCTGTTCATGAGGAGTGAGAGTCGCAGGTCTCATAGATCCAACGATCGGAGACTACAGTAGTCTTGAGATACGATGTGACGGCGACACGCTGAAGGGTAATTTGCGATGATGTGCTACTTTACATTAAAAAAATCGAGTTAGTGTCCTCTAGATCATGAACGAAAACAATCGTTCCTTCTATAAATCTCTGCAAATTGAGGCGTCCGTCATCGCAGTAAAACTCACCTCGAGCTCCCATCAATCACCTCATACCCCCAAACAAAAAAAGTCATGACTGTCATTAAAACCGAGAGCACACAGAAAGGCACACCTGCATAAAATACGTATATACTCAAGTAAAAAGAACGCATAAACAACGACAAAAAACGCAGATCAACAATTTGACGCGAGTGTGACAGAGGAGAGAGAAGAAGAAAAAAGTATAAAATAATTGTAATGCGATGCGATGCGTGCATGCGTGCATGAACGGGTGGTATGGGTTGGGTTGGGGTGATATGCTATAGCGAAGGATATGGAAGTATAGAGTTGAAAAATGAATGCGTTGCGTCAAAGAGAGCGAGGGACAGACAGACAGACAGACGAGACACCCGAACCGTCCAATGCATGCACATTCCACACCGGAAATACCTGATACTTGATACGTTTTATCCATTGCAAATAGCACATAGGGCAACGGGAATGGGAATAGAAAAATACGCACTCCTCACCCCCTCAATACTTGCTTATTCTGGTTTCATGCGATATATCACGGCAGCGGCCGCGACACTCAAGACGAGGACGCCAATGGCAGCTGTTATCGTTGTTGATGCCGAATGCAGCTACGCTCAAGGCGTTAGTACCAGTGGCTATATGCATGTGGAAAAATACTCACCCGCTGCGTCACCTCTGTCTGCGTCTGCATTTGTAGGTGCACTTTCTGTCCCACAGTATCCGTACCCCCGGCATCGGTGACAGATGACTCTGGAGTGAGAGGTTGCACACCCTCGTGCTTCTCCAACTCGCCCTCTACCTCAGGCTCGCTTCCCACAATCGACGGTCCAGGTGAAGGGGATCGTGATCGACCTGCATCACCGTTCAAAATCCCATTTCCATCCTTGTGCGCATCATCATCCAACTCGATGGAAGACACAGATGGAGATCTCGAACGTCTTCGTCTTCGCGCTTTCCCCCGACCAGGATTAGAAGCGACGCTCACAGGACTTGGAGGCGTCACTAGTCCTCCACCTAGAGGATTCGTCCCGTTCGCGGTATGCAGCTTGAGATCACCGTTTTGAAGTCTTGCATGCGTTTGCGCTTGTACGTGCGAGGTAACGACGGTCGATACCCGTGCGTCTAATCCGTTTTCTAGTCCCTCAAAGGCCCGGCGTAACCGTTCACGCTCTGCTCCCCATTCTTCTTGCGCTGCGCTCCATTGCCCTTCTACACCCTTCTTCCACTCTGCCATCAACGCAGTCAACCCTTCCGCAGGATCCGGTTGCTGCTGTTTATGTGCGCGAAGCTGGGCCTCTACCGCGCTTTCTACGGCCTTGGCGAGTTGGGCCTCCACAGCTGCAGCGATCTGCGTCTCGAACTGCCGGTCTGCAACCAGCGCCTCCAGCGCGGTGATCTTGTCCTGCAACACAGTGATCGTGCCCTGAGCGGCAGCATGTTGCGCCGCTAGGGAATGGTTGACTTCTACAGCGCTGTCTATGCGTCCACTAAGAGCTACTAGCCGTGCTGAGAGCTCGTCTAGTGCAGGGTGCGATGGCTGTGGCGAAGGAGATCGTGGTCGTGATCGTGATGTCGAAGGTTCAGTTTCCGATGCACGGGCATGCATAAGCTCGTCCTCGTCCATTCCCATCCCCGATGGCTCTGGCGTCCGCGGCCTACCCAGCTCCTCCCTCCTCTGTGCACGCTCCCTATCCTCCTCGCTCTCATCCTGTTCTTCGCTCTCGTCCTCTTCCTCGACGCGCTCCAACTCATGCGGGGTGATTGTACGAATGCTAGATCCGTCGTCGTCGTCTTGTCCACGGCGACCGCGCTCCGAGTCTACGTTCATGGCATTGTCGTGCTGAGAACGTGCGGATGAAGCATGGATGAGATCGCGGAGAGCTGCAACCTCGGCCTTAATGGCCTCGTGCTCTGCAAGCATGTCCTCGAGTGCGCGGACCTTGTCGACATGGCTTGCGAGGCTGGCTTGGGTCTCGTGCAGCTCTGTGCGCAGCTCAGAAAGGGCAGGGTGCTCCGGGGGAGGTGCAGGAGGTTCTGGATTTGCGGGCGCGGCAGATGCGGGTGCGGGTGCAGAGTTTCCGGAGGTTTGTTGTGAACGTACGGGAGGGAGCGATTGAGGGAAGTGCGGTAGGTTTTGGGGCTGTGGGAGTGGAGATAGTCAGTATGTATGGATGTAGAGAGTAATGGAAGACGGACCACCGAGCCACCGAGCGTGTCGTGAATATCATTCATTACAGTGCTTAGGGAGTGCAGTTCTGTACCGGTCTCGCGACTCTTCTGGAGTTCGCCCTGAAGCCTGCTTAATATGTGGTCAAAGGTTAGGCCATTTTTTCCCGGTGGACGCATACTGCCGCCCATACCACCAAGCTGGCTCTGTAGGGCAGGGCGGCGCTGTGGATGTGCAAAGCTAAAGTTATTACCACTTCCAGATGATGAAGTGGCGGGAGGAAGGACGGAGGGAATATTGGGAGGAAGAGAGGTGGATGATGGGATGGCCTCTACGCGGGCAGCGAGGTGCGCATCTTCGTCTGTGAACACACACATGACGCGTGCAGCGACTTTGTGGTGGATTGTGGTCTTGTTGTCTTCACCAATGATGTCGATACCGAATTCCTACGAAGGGGTTGGGTGGGTCAGACGGGGGAAAAGTAAGGGAAAACATACCACGATATCATCATTTTTGAGCTCAAATGGCTCGGATTCGACTCCTTCTGGGCTGAGTCGCTCGCCATTGATGAAAGTGCCGTTAGAACTTTTCACGTCTTTGATGTATATCTTCCGCCACGTCCGTCAGTCTTCCCCCTCGAAAACAAGGAACAAGACACACCTTTCCACTGTCCTCCCAAATCTCTGCATGTTGTCTGCTTAGTACTTTTGAGTCAAAATAACCGTTTCTCTCTCCTGGGATTGTCTTTGTGTTTGTCTGGCGCCCGATCTTTACGCGCTGGCCATTGTGAAGGGAGATATGTTTTGGGATAAAAGTGTCGTTTAGAGGATAGAGGTAAAGAGAAGGATATGGCGGGTGTACATGTGGAGAGGAGAAGGGTTGAGTCGGGGCCATCGCTGCTAACGGCGGTCAAGTAAATTATCGTCAATCCCTTCTAGCCGCATCCCACATCCCACTTCAACGCTTATGTAATAATTACCTAATTCGTCCATCCTCTGCGCACGAACCGGTCAACATTCCTCGTGCCCAGTATCAAGCAGACATGCATCTTTCATTTCTGATACACATTCATGAGCGGCGTTTTCTGGCGAAACAAATCTGACCAGTTAACTGGAATTGATCAATTGCGAATATTTTAACATTAAATATTTAGGAGGGTGACCAGGTGAGTTTTTCCACATTTCATCACTCTGGCACCCCACTGACATTGAGCAAGTATCAACATTGCTCAAGCTCTCGCTAGCACGAGCGCACAACCACTTCTCGGTCTACGGGAAGAAAAATACAAAACAAACGGACAGACCCCTTAGTGGTTTGAATGACGAAATTAACTGCAACACGACCTTCAACATGTGATACAAGCAAGCCTCAAGGCGCCTACAAGCACGCTGTGCAAACTTTGTCATCTAAGCCGTAAGGCTATCTGGTCTCCCAACTACCTCCACCATAACTACCTCTCTTTTCGCCGCATTGTTTGCGTAGAGCTAAATTCGTTTATTTGAGTATTGTCTTTTAATCATCTCTTCGTGAATATCTTTATTAAATCTGTGGATTTAAACAGCTCTCCTCGTAAGCAGATTCCATTAGGACGTGAGGATGAGACCCCTCGTAACCCTTCCGCTCCATCTCTGACCAGATGGTCTTCTATTGCGGGTTGTGATTGATGGTTGTGTAGTGGCAGAAGGTTGTCCTAAGGTGAGCGTCACTGCTAACTCCTGAAGATCACAATTTGATTGATATGTATGTCCAAGACCTGGTTCTATCTTTAGGTCGGAGTCCCGATTGAGTCAGAATGATAGCCACATTCTGCCTTCTGCCACAGACGGATCGTTCTCAGAATACCACCAGCCCGTGAGTGGTATATGCTAATCTTTGTCTATAAGGCGAGATGCTTCGCTCTGTCACACTCAGATGTTGTCTCCTTCGTGTCTTAGGACGGTTTGCAGCGCAAACGCGCGCTTACGGATCCGACGGCTCTAACTCACGTGACCGAACTGTCAAGATGCGGTCCCTACAACTACTTAACTTTATTATGGACACACGTAGCAGGGGCGCCGGCTGCGTTGACTTCTACCCAGCCTCGGATAGCCCATAACTCGTCACGACAGGTGATGACCGGACTATCAAGATTTGGGACTACCTTAGCAAAAGCTGCGTGCAAACGATGGAAGGACATACGAACGACCCAAGCTTTGCTGTATTCCACCCCAACGTGCCCATCAGCAGCAGCAGTGAGGACGGTACCGTAAAGATATGGAATGGCAATGCCTGAGAACACCCTCAGCTATGTGCTCGAGCGCGCATGGTGCGTCTCGCTGCGCCGAGATGCGAATGAGGTGGCTGTCGGTTTTGATGAGGGTATTGATGTGATGGTCTATCTCTATCGTTCACATGGGGATGGAAGTGGGGAGACGAGTTAAGGAAACGGCTCGCAACATTCTGATCATTTTCTCAAGCTTGTCAAGTATCGTTCTTGATGTTTAACCTCGCGGCCAATTATATGTTTGCTTTGTCCTGAGCTAAATTTTGTCGTGATATGCGGCTTTGCTTTTTTTTTCCTCCGTGATTCCGTGAACAAGGGTAGCATAGTACAGATTGTACACTGGCACGACCATGGCTATTTATCAATTATAATGTAGCCTCTCTATTGAACGCAACTGATTATCGGGATATAAGGATGTGCCAGTGTCGGAGGTCGGATATTCTGGGATCGAAATACTTGCGCAGACTGCACCCAAAGTTTTGCCAGTTCTGTTTGTGAGCGGCAAAACTGACCCCAAGTAATCCTACTATACCAACAAGTATGCGACACATAGTTACCTGTCTTTCTTCGCTGGCAGACTCTCGGATACCCACTGGGTCGATTATCTATCTCCGAGGAAGGTTTGTGCCACTCTCCAGTTCGTTCTGGGAACTTCCGCAACTTCTGCCAGTAAAGTGACTAGGCACATATCCGACCTTACGCCGTAATGGCGCTACTAGTATTGGCGCCGCTCTGCAACGATTCGCGTCAAGTGCCAACGTTTGGCCACCCAAGGTATGGAACATCCCCAAAATATTTCCATGCCGACGAGATACTTCTATAGTGCGCGTGGTTTTTCTACCAAGCCTGTTCAAACAGATAGCCTTTGCGCAAAGTATCGCAGATGGGTCCGGGGTGAAAGGACGGATGAGTCAGCTCGTGAACAAAAGTGATCTTGTTCCTACTAGACAGTAAGACTGGTCGTGGAGGACGGCGCTGACAATATTAATATTGTAGTTTGGGTATACTGGTCTAATGACCATAAGGGGACAAAGTAGCGGTATTTCAAATATCATACTGTCAAGCGCCGGACCCAACGTTCGACCAGAATGTCACCTAAAAGATTCGCAGGCGATGCTGGCATCGCGAAGTTCATAGTGACGTTATACGATTGTTCGGTTTAGCCCCGCATGAGGGTATAAAGCTGGCATCTACTGGTCCCTAACGCCCATTTTCATTTTTTGCACCCCACCACAAGTTCGAGCAGTATGAAAGTCACTCCAGCTTCTGTCACTCTTTTAGTTGTTGCAGCCTTCCATGACCTCTGCGTGGCCGTACCTGCTAAACGTGATGATACCAGTATCCCAACAGGTGAGTTCATTGTTTACCCCATCTGACTCAATGATCTCATACCGTGGTGTTCTTAGACATTCAGATTCTGAATTTCGCACTCACGCTTGAACACCTCGAAAATGCCTTCTACACTCAAGGCTTGGAGAAGTATACCCAGCAGGACTTCCTCAATGCAGACCTGCCCGCCTGGGCGCGTGGACGATGGAACGAAATTGCACAACATGAGTCGACACACGTGTCGTTCCTCGAGAGCGTAATTGGCGAGCAGGCGGTACAGCCATGCACCTACAGTTTGTGAGTAGAGATTTCACAAGAGCAATTTATACGTCACTGAATGGGTGTGGTCGCGTTAGCCCTGACACGGACCCAATGTCTTTCGTAACAACTAGTTTCATGTTGGAGACGGTTGGCGTTTCAGCATATTCTGGTGCGGCGCAGTTCTTGTCTCAGTCGGTAAGTTGTGGACCAACTTTACGGTTTGATCGTAGTCGTGTATTTATTTTATCATGCTCTCAGGATTACATTACGTCCTCGGGTGCTATCCTAGCTGTTGAAGCAAGACAATCGGCGTGGATCAATTCAGCGATTTTGAAAGCTAACCCGTGGAACACTGCGTTTGACGTATGTCATCATGTTCGTCACTAATGATCGCTACTCACATCTGTCTAGACCCCACTAGACCTCAATCACGTGTGGACACTCGCATCAGGCGTGATCGTGTCATGCCCTTCCTCTAACATGCCACTGCCTGTGAAAGCGTTCCCCGCATTATCTTTCCCTGCTGGTGCTCAGCCAGGCCAGACTGTCCAAGTCTCTTTCAACGCAACAATGGTACCGTCGGTACCTCCACAACTTTATGTTGCGTTCATTGCTGGCCTCGGCGCTACTTTTGTGCCACTGAGCGCTCAAAACACAGTTGAGATTCCATCGACTTTACAGGGTGTCGTGTTCCCTATAATCACTTCCAGTAGTACGGCGGTGACTGACAACGTGACAATTGCTGGACCCGCCTTTTTGAGTTTCCACTTCAAAGCTGATGGCGAGGACGAACTCTAAAGTCTTCTTTGTAGTTTAGTACGTTGCTGTATCGGATTTTTTCTTTTTTCTTCTTTTTGGTTCGTGTCTAGTGTATCGATGGAAATTTAAGTATATCTACTCGCCAGAACATTCCCCGTAGTACTTATGTGTACGGACACATGTTGTTTTTTTCGCTAGAGCGTTATGTGCGTCACGCACAATTGCAATCTAGGTGTGAAATATTCTACAAATACTGTGTTCCGTATATTGTCCTCCAGGCAATCTAGCAACGTCTCAGGTGTAGGCAGCCGCAGACCAGCTTGATAATATCATAGAAGATAAACGTTCCTTCATTGTCGGCGGCGTGTCGGCCATCACTCGTAAGTCTCCCCAGGGTGCTTTACGTTGATTGCGGTGGTTTTCCGACGTTATACATGGCTTTATATTCCAATATAACGAAAACAGATCATATATCGGCATATATGCCAGTATCTGCGCCTTACTGACTCACTGACGTGGATGCTTTGACTGACAGTTGAAACGTTGACTCCGAGTAGGTTCGGAACCTCGGAACCAGTTGATGACATGTTACCCTCTTACCTTTTACTCTCCAGACACACAGTGTCATCTTCCAACTTCCTTGCGATTTGATCAACCCACTGACGAAGCCATAGCAGATTTGATTGCATTTGGAGGCTGACAATGGGTTGGCTTGATCCAAATTATGGATTATAGCCAAGAGGCTGACATGGGCTGACATGTGCTAGTACACATATAAAATGTACCTCCGGTATTCTTTGTGAGCTGCTTCTCTTTTCTACTTTGGACGATACCCATATTTTTCAAAACCCTACTGTATACCCTTGTATTATTGACGTTTCACGATGAGGGCCATATTGTCGTTGCTCGCCCTTGTCATCCTTTCCTCTTCCGTTCTCTCCCTTCCATCAGAGCGACGTGACGGCGATAGCGCACTGACGGGTGATGTTAATTTCATTTCTCGAAGCTTTAAACTGACGAATACTACAACAGAGATCCAAGCTCTAAATTTTGCCCTCTCCCTCGAGCACTTCCAGTACTACTTTTACAAACGGCTGTACCAATATGAGCCGCAGGACTTCTCCAACGCTGGTTTGCCGCCATGGTCGCAGGGGAGATATGCACAGATATCCTCCCATGAACTCACGCATGCTCAGTTCCTTGAGAATATCCTGGGTGACAATGCTGTTCAGCCATGCACATATAACTTGTTAGCTCATTTCTTGTCCATCTTTCACGTGTGGCCTGAATGAACCCTCCATCAGTCCAGACTCCGATCCGAGATCATTCGTGAAGACCAGCAACATTGTGGAAGCAATAACATCCTCTACGTACACAACTCTCGCGAAGTATCTCTCCGATCCTGTACTTCGATTTCTATTGCTCTATATTGGGATCCAACTCAAAAGCATTTTAGGACTATGTCATCTCCATCAGCTCTATTCACTCCGTGGAAGCAAAACACTCAGCGTGGGTCAACGCGGACATGCGTGAAGGTGCCGCTTGGAGTACGGCATTTGATGTACGTGGCATCTCATCTCTTAACATGCATTTTGAGACCGACAATCAACAGGCGCCAATGAGTCTGAGTCAACTATACACGATGATGAGTGGCTTCATCGTATCCTGCCCATCCTCCAATTCGCTGCCGCCGATCAAAACATTCCCCTCACTCACGTTTCCCTCCAACGTTATCCCAGGGCAGACTGTACAAGTGTCGTTTTCGCCCGCAGCTCCGGACCGCGATTCACACACGTTGTACGCCTGGTTCATCTCAGGGTTCAAAGCGCTCGTTGTACCTCTCAACGCTGACATGACGGTCACCATCCCGGACACGCTGCAGGGTTTTGTGTTCTCGGTGATCACGAACAACAGGGAGAGCGTGTCCGACGATGCTACAGTTGCTGGGCCAGCGTTCTTAGTCTTCGATTATGACTACCAAGGAAACGATCAGTCGCTACCCATGTGAAGAAATCAATGATTTCTCAAGTGCGTCCGAGTTGCTAAACTACATTCTATCGACTTGTACATTTATTGCCGAAAACTACTTCAATTTTCTCCACTATCAGTATCGGGATGCTGGAGCTCCAGGTTCTCCGCCTAATGCAACGATAGCGTTTGCTGCCACCGACTCACTCATTGCACCAATGTCAGAAGTGACATTGATCTACATGACGCAAAAAGAGTGAGCTATAAACGCGGATTTTCAGTCAAGTGATCTCACTATGTCGAAGCCTTCCTCAGCACGCTTAAGGGCCTGCTTTCCTGAGCTGCAGTAAATTGCGCTGGGTCATAAATGGATCAGTGATGATTATTTAGCAGGAGTTCAGCACACATGCTTACCACTTCTTTCCTTCCTTGTGTGTAGCTTTGAGAACATTTTGAATGACAGTTTCTACGTCAGGGTGCGGATCGGGAGAGGGGGGAGGGTATCCCAAGGACAGTGAAAGATCGTAAGGACCGATGAATAAGCAATCTAAAAGATCATATTAGTGGTGTACGTAATTATATACACCCAACGCACCAATGCCGTCCACAGCAGCAATGGCCTCAACATTCTGCACGGCTTCCGGCGTTTCGATTTGTATCATAACAACTACATGTTCATTCGCAGATTTGATGTACCCGGTGGCATCGATGCCCCACACGCCATGCGTGAATGGACTTCCAAAGCCGCGCCGGCCTGCCGGAGGGAAGCGACTGTCGGCCACGATCTCCCTCGCCTTCTCAGCATTAGAGACCTACAGCCCGGCACAGAGTCTAAAAAAAACGTTCGATTCCATACTCTCCCAAAGCCACTCACCATAGGAACAAGCACACCCCGTGCGCCTGCATCAAGCGCGTATTTAATCTGCCACGACGTACTATTGCTGAACCCCGTGGCTGGGATTCTCACGAGCGGGCTCGGCGCGTTGGGTCCAAGACCAGTGATAGCCTGAATGGATTCTGCAGCGCCAGGCTGGAGCGATGTGAGACCGTGTTCGCAGTCTATCATCACCCACGAGAGGTACGGGCTGGCTTGTGCGACCGCGCGTGCGTTCAGGATACCTGGGAGGGTGATCCATGCGCCGAATGCGGGCTTGGAGGCTTTGAATGCTTGCAGGAGTGCGTGCGTTGTCATAGCTGGAGATTGAGCGTATTCGGGTCTGGAGATGGGTTTATATAGAGAGGGCCAAGATTATAGTCATGAGGGGTGTTTTGCGGACCGATCTGAGCCGCTGACGCCTTAGCGCTATTGAACTTGCACCATATCATGCTAAATAAGCCTAGATTTATGTAAAGTCATTCAATTTGAGAGCTGTTGGGGGTATTGAAATGGTCATCTGAGTTAATTTCACGAGTGTGTGCTGTACATTACCTGTCCATGCGCACTGCAGCATCATCACTTAGATGGAGAAACGACCGCAAATTCAATAGACAGAATCAATGATTAATGTTGATGGAAGATGCCGAGTTAGGAGGTGACATCCATCTGGCGGGTCTTCAAGCCTACCAATAAAACGAAATCCATTATATTCGACTGGTGATTAAAGGAGCTGTGATTATGCGTGCTCAGTGGCAGTTGCAGGTTGTATGGGAGTAAAAGTATTGCGAGGGCGCCATTCACGTTCTGTTGTCCAGTATCGTATCCACTTCCACTCCTTTCCCGTCTTTTTATGTACCTTCTCGATCGTCTTGAGGGCGTCCAACAACCAGATATTGGGCTTCTCTGCGTATCTTGCCCTAATCACGCTTTCCTGTGGAGCCTTGACGGGAGGTTTGTCTTGGACTTGTTTGTGGAGCTCTTCATACAACGCCTTGGCCACGATACGTGCATTTGCCGAATTATCTTTGAGACATGCGACATAGAGCATGGAACAAGCAGCCAGGTCAGATGAAACCGGTGGGAGCTTGTAGACACCAAATAGAGCTGCGACAGTCATAGAGTCCGAAAGCGGGCGCTTGTCATAGACGGAGTGCAGCATATGTCGTGCGGCGAAGAGAGAGCCCAAAGCCAAACCGTATTTCGAATGGTCTCCAAAAACCTTGAGTGCGAGTGTCGGGCAATTCAGCTCCTCACAGCGACCTTGGTTTATATCAGCAGAGAACGGGGCAGCGATAGGATGTTGGACTCACGGATGAAAGCCTCTGCGTGTATGGGGCGGAACTCCTTGCCCGAGTCTCTCCACCTCGGAAACAGCTCTGCAACCATTTCTAGCTGTTCTGACGAGCTCGCGAGCTGGAACAACCGAAGCCATGCAGTTTGGCGCACTTGGCCGGCTTTGATAGCACGTTTGCGTCCTGTGCGGTTTGTCACGTACTCCACAAGTTCGTAGAACTGTGGTTCTCGACGCGTAGCAGCGTCCTGGAATTTAGCTTTTGAGGCCGTAGTAGACTTGGAGGGATCAGGTACTGAAGTTTCAGATGGTGTCACAGACGAGAAGAGGTCGTCATCCCTGGACTGTTGAACTGCATAAAATTTGTTGAGCACTTGATGATGCTCTGCTGCCGTGCACCTCACCTACAGTCGTCAGATGGAAATTTCTGCGACACACTGATCGATTGGCGGCGCTTGCTACTCGAAAGAAGGCCTGTGGCCGGGAACTTAAGGAGAGGAGGCTAGCCATCCTACGGTGCATCATTCACAGCTTTGAAGCAAAAGCATGAAACTGAAATTTCTTGTCAAACATCGCCAAACAAAGGTCGAGTATCATTATTTGATAATATCATTTTTGATTCTTCTACTCACCCATGTGCAGGCTCAGCGCTCCGCAGAATACCCGGAAAGTCATCAAATCTCAAGACTCGAACTGGGTCTACGGCCGACGACGCGGAAGGCACGAATCCGCTGCAAAATGTTCCAGATAAATAACACTTCTTCGCCCAACGCCAGTGATATCTTATCTCAGACTTTGTCTCATTCCAACTTTTCCGATAGGCCTCTTATCTTGTTTCATTCCCAACACTTATTGATGATATCGTTGGGAAACTCATTTGATCGGCTCTGTAATAGATGTCCATCCATGAATTTATAGTTTTAGATTTCGAGGATATGATACATCGTGATGTAGATTTTCCCTTGACCGGATCACCAGTACTGACTTGTCTCTCAAATTAGCTGCTCCGCACTATCAGCGAACTTCAGCTCGTGCACGAAGGCGTACAGGACCGCAAATCAAAATCAAGACTCGGATATCATACGTCGATGATAACTCCGCTGCTGTACTCATCCGACGGGCGACCGCAGAAGTCTGGTTCGAGACCGGCGAATTATTCATATTCCGTTTTTTCACCTAGCTTCATGTATTTCACAACTTGCATGCTGTCGATCGTGTCTATGACTCTCAGACGGCGATACCCTGATATTATCTGGCACCACTTTGGGGTATACACGGCATGGGAATCATGCAGACGGTGAGTGCGATGAGAGAGTCTTGGGAGATGAAGTAGTCACCGTCGCTGGGGTAGAGAGAAGGTGAAAGGCCGTAGGAAATCGATGGCTCACACGAGCTCTGTAGTTCTCTTGTGCTTATTGCAGGCAAAGCCATCATTTGGCACGTCAGCAGCACGTCAAATGACTCAAATTCGACTGATCTCAGGTTCAGGGCTCGCTGGCACCACTTCTTCGAATACGGGCAGAATACAAGGGAAAATTCGGGTGTTCCAAACTTATCTTAAAAGTCCCCCAGGCAATTGGACTACAAACATTTGTTCCTGATATGTCAGGCTCCTTATTTTTTCCGGATGTGTTCGAGTTCACGTTCTATTTATACCGTGCTAGCGGTATTCAACACATTTACATCGCATAGCTGCGTGTACATGTTTGTCGATGCATTCCCCATCCGGGGATGAACCCTGATATTCGAGTTAGCCGGGTCGTTTTTGGCCTTGCGTCGACGTGGCCTATTGGTCAGGTTCTGATTGTCGCCCCCACCGTGCAGCCAATTCACTGGGACGGGCTACACGCATTTTCAGCAACCGTACAGTATCGTCATTGAACCCGTCCAGTGATATGCAATATCCCGGTTCCAAAGATAGAAATGTCCGAGGGCTTTCATTGGGATGAGGTTTAGTATACTTGCGAGGACGCAGGCCACGTACCGGATTGCTCGAAGTAGGGATCCTCGGGACGCGCGTTTACTAAGCTCATCCGGACAACAAAAATAACAACGACACGAGGACGAGCCACATAGGTGACTCGAAGCGAGATTGAGCCACACGGCCCACACCTCTTAGCAGCATATAACATGATTTTGGAGCGATGCTCAGTCGGGTGATGCTGATTTTTTGATGCCGTATAGGTCATATCTTTGACGCTCGCTTCGGATAAACTTCGGTCGTGAGCAGATGTACTAGATGTTCCCGACGGTCGACGGTCGGCCATATTGCATAGATGTGACTACGATGGGGTCGTCAGCGCGCGGCACTCTTTGTAATACTTTGCTTACTTACTATGCGTATTATTGATAGTGCAGGTACTAGGATGGGGGCCGTTCTCCACATGCTCTGGTACAACGATTGGATGCGGAATGAATAGATTCCGCCGGAGATGAATATGGTGGCTTGCCCTTCCGAGGGAACTATTGCACCCATTTGACCTTTTTACTGCTTCTCCCGCGACTGACTGCAAGATGTGACGGGATGAAACGTCAACATAGCCCTACATAGCCTACAAGCCAATACAAATGACACTGCAAATGTACAGCAAGTGCTGCGAAGTGACGAATTCGTATATGAAGGGGAATTCCGAACAAGCACTAGGCTAGTACTAGAGGTTCCGTCAGGTACACATACCTAGTACATCCGCGGTCAATCACCCTCTACTCTCCACCCAGACTTCAAGCTTGTCAAGTTGCCAGTAAAGCTCTCACGAAACGCTGACAACGATTCTCATGCAGTGAGGATGTCACAATGTTTTCTGATCGTGTCATGACAACACTTTGTTCCTGATAAGTGAGTATTAGTTCGAGTTGAAGGAGTTGCATGTACGTAAATATAAGCAGGGTCACCGTCGAAGGAAGGCGGGGAATCAGTAGCCAAACTCGGGCACATGATGGGAAGCGAAATGGTCTTTTTCTAGAAAGAGCTCACGTTGGTGTTAAGATGGTATGTTGTACGACGCGCGGGGTGCCATATGTCAATCAGGCCGAGCTTAGGTTTGGCGAGTTAATTATTGATGGAAAACAGCGTGACCCAAATGCTGGCCCGCCGGCGTTGTCATTCTTTTTTAATTTAAGAGTTCTATGAAAATAATGAAAAGTACTTCGGAGTATTAATTTAAGTATATCGTGCGTACTACTACTACTAGTTGGTATCATGATCGAGGAACAGCGAGCTTATCGCGCGCCCTGGGGACCGCTTTTTGTCAAAAAAAAACATTGAAAAGGAAGGTTTAAGGCCTGAGGGGAGGGTGGATGCCGCCGTCAGCAGTATTTGTCTGCCGCCGTCTGAATTCAAACTCCGCGCACGTGGTGGATGCCGTACTAATCGTCGTTCATTGGATGATAAACTGAAGTACAGCTTATTCATCATTTCTCGTTATCTCTTGCCAAGTACTTAAGACAGCGGTAGGATGAATTCACGTACGGCAACTAGTCCGACGTCAGGTCCCACAGATATTCGTATATCTACCCACAGGGTTTTCCTCCTTTTTCAAGGAGCGCACGTCCATCTTTTATTTGCAGGAACATTAATTCGTCACAGCCCCCATCCCATCGTCAACGTGTATTAAGGGCAAAATGGTGAACGTTACCTACGATGCTTGTGAGTCTTCTACGTCATTCTCCTAAAAAATGCTCAACAGCGCTGTCCAGCCGGCGACCTCTATTCGTCTACTGGAACCATTTTCAATATGGGCGATATTGCCTGGACATTGGCATCAACCGCTCTAGTATGGATCATGATACCTGGGGTTGGCTTCTTCTACTCCGGTTTACTCAGGAGGAAGAATGCTCTCAATATGATCTATCTCAGTATGATGACCGTTGCTATGGTCTCCTTCCAGGTCCGTCACACTTTATGAGATTTTAACTACGCTCTATGTGCTCATCGACATTGTAGTGGTTCTTCTGGGGCTATTCTCTAGCTTTCAGCGAAACTGCCAGTCCCTACATTGGCAACCTCAGTATGATTTCCCTCAGAATTACAAGTCTCCACTTTTAACCGCTATTCGTCAGAATACTTTGCCTTGCGAAATGTACTAAACCAACCTTCTATCGGTAGTCCCAGAGTACCGGCCATCGTATTCTGCGTCTTCCAGCTTATGTTCGCTGCTATCACGTACGTCATGATTAGTATGGTCTCTTATTCAGAACACTCATGTAACTCCAGTCCTATGATTGCCCTTGGTGCTGTCGCAGAACGCAGCCGCTTGGGTCCTCTCCTGGCATTCGTTTTTATTTGGTCTACACTCGTTTATGATCCCATCGCCTGTTGGACATGGAACTCCCAAGGCTGGTCGTACGTCCTTGGTGGTCTTGACTTCGCTGGAGGCACCCCAGTGCACATCTCTTCTGGTACTGCCGCACTTGCCATCTCACTCTACCTTGGCAAACGTCGCGGATATGGCACCGAGCGCCTCGCCTACAAGCCTCATAACACAACTTATGTCATTCTGGGCACGGTCTTCCTATGGTTCGGCTGGTTCGGCTTCAACGGCGGTTCTGCACTCTCCGCAAACTTGCGTGCAACCCAGGCGTGCATTGTTACCAACCTTGCTGCAAGCGTTGGTGGTTTGACTTGGATGCTCTGGGATTATCGTCTTGAACGCAAGTGGTCCGTTGTCGGTTTCTGTTCTGGGGCTATCGCGGGTCTCGTCGCTATCACTCCTGGTTCAGGTTTCGTGGGTTCTCGTGAGTTTTACTTTTTTAGAATCCGTTGAAAATTTTTGAGACGTGAATTAGCGGCTGCTGTTTTGTTCGGCTTCATGGCTGGTACCGTCTGCAACTTTGCCACCCAGCTCAAGTTTATCTTCAAGTATGATGATACGCTCGATGTATGTGAACATCCTGTCTGCATGGAATTATCGGTGCTCATTCTACGTCAGATCTTCGCATCGCATGCCATTGGCGGTATTGTTGGCAACGTCCTTACTGGTCTCTTCGCTCAAGCAAGCATTGCTAGTGCTGATGGCGTTGTTACAATTCCTGGAGGTTGGCTTGACCAGAACTACCGTCAACTTGGCATCCAACTCGCAGATTCCGTCTCTGGGCTTTCTTACTCTTTCGTCATGACTGTCAGTCTCATGCCCATATCCTTTCTCCGCCCTTCTTTATCTGACTCTTTGCTCATCTATAGACCATCATATTGTGGGTCATGCACTTTATTCCCGGCCTCCGGATCCGTTGCGACGAGGAGACCGAGATCCTCGGTGTCGACGATGCAGAGATGGGCGAATTTGCATACGACTATGTCGCTCTTGAAAATGAAGTCATGCCTCGTAGCGAGTACAACGCAGGTGCGTCTTCCGGCAGCCGCGAGCCGCAGCACACCGCCGCAACGACATCGCAAATAAGCCAAGAAAAACAGATTGGGGAGGAGGATGTCAGTCGTGTACAGTGAAAGGGTTCATAGGGTCGAGGATAAGAAGACTGCAAGAAAGTCTACCACTCATTACGTTAAAGTCTGTTTTCTTTGTTCTAGCGTATTCACACATTTTTGCATGTTCTGTTTTAAACAGTAACATGCGTGTTATTTAGTTATCCGGACTTTTATTTATGTAACTTTAAGATCGAGTCATTTCTTGATGGACTGACTTGAAGGCATACCCCTTGTTGACCCAGTTACTTGTGATACCCTTGTGTCATGTAAATACAAGAAAGCCAGAAATAAGAGATCTTACGGATAAACAGTAATCATGTGGAAGTGTAATTAATTTGCAATGAACAGGACCAGAACAGGAGTGTGTTTGTAGATCGACAGGATGGGATCCGGAAACTCCCTATCATTAATGTGGCAAAGACCTGGGGCCCAACTCTTTTCCCAGTCATTAATATGTAGATCTTAACGTGACGCGCGCTGCCCTCGCGCAAAACCGGTCCGACATGTTCGCGCCACTTCCTTTAATGCCTATCGTCATAGAGCTTGACATGAAGACCCTGTTGATCCAGGGTGTGATTGACACATATCGCCACCCTACTTTGTCGGGCACAATGGTTGCGCATCGCGAACGAACCAAAGCAGAATGCGCAACAGGGAGCTTGACAACGGAGCACAAGGTCGAAGCTCATATATCGTCATCTAGGTGACTTGCAGAATTGACGATTTGGCACTAGCAGTCAAACTTGATAGCGACGCACCCGGAGAGGCACCCCCTCGCTTGCCAGCACAGTCACGGTTCCCAAGCTCTCTATGATCGGCACCGTTGTCCCATCCGCCATCTCAAACGCATGTACAAGGACAATCTGGGACGAGTCCAAACTCGGTCAAAGTCAAAACGATCCGGAACTAATAATAATGATCTTGACAGTGCAGTGTACCTTGGACAAACTCTGTTAATGCAAAGAGCCTCCCTAGGCACATCCGCGCTCCATCCCGGAATGTCATGGAAATAAAAGGTAACCCTGCAGGGTTTCTCCGGGAATATGCGGGCTTTCGAGCTAGCGGGACGTCTTCGCACTAGGCCCTAACAGAACAGTTGAGTGCTGCAAGTGGAATGATGACCGCCGTCCCCTTCGGAATGAATACGCTCTTGGTAAAGTTATTGGCAGCTGTACGCAAGGATTTGACGAGAGGGATTGCGTAGCCTGTCATAGTCAGCTTGAATGCTTTGAATAATTTTTTTTTCGTTGGATACGCACTCATCGCGCAATTTCCTTGACTGCTGCGTGAAGGCGCAGAACTTTGTTTAGTACGGCATCCAGCAGGGACGCTTGTTTGTAAGATCATATAAGGGAGGTTGGTCTGAACTCTATACATTCGTCACGAAGCTTCGTCTGAATGTCTGAATGTCTGAATTCCGCGCAAGTTCTAATGTGCCCACTGTAAAGTTGAAAAGCAAAGTGACAGCAGCGGACTGTTGAAACCATGGTGACTGATTAGAATGCAAGGAATACTTAGTGGGAATGTGCATACGGTCTTTTGCTAGATGATTGCATGTTACCTGCAGTGATCTCAAAACCGGTGAGAAGCAGAACCTTTACCTGGCGGTGACGGAAACCAGTGTCACATCGTTCAGAAGAGTTCTGTGAATTCGTATACTTCGTCTAATATTTCTTGTGGAGTCGGCTTAATGTTCTCACCAGATTCTTTTGCTTTCACTGAACAACGATTTAATTTGAATCCGAAGGGCGGGACTCAAACCCGAACATGATATGTCCTCCTGCTCAGCGCCGCTGGAGCGGGGCGTTCCATCAGACCTAGGCAGGTCCGGGCGCAGTAGCAGGTGTCCTGGCGCGGTGGCAGGAGTCCTGTCTCGTAGTCGGTCCTCACGCGTGTCGTAGTCTGTCCTCGTTAGACAGAGCCGTAGCCTCCCGCTATAGAGGTCTGGCCTTGGGTTCCCTTGCAGTCCGTGCCCGTTCCACCAGCCCTGGCCTTGAAAATTGGCAAATTATGCAGATGAATCCTGAGATGACTGGAGGTTAGCATACAATTTTCTTACAATACCATTACATAGTTACAGACCGTAGTCAAACCTCATAGCGACATACCCGGAGAGGCACACTCCCAGCCTCAGCACTCCCAACCGCCCCCGGCCTTGGTAAAGATCCCAAACTATCCACAATCTGCACTCCAGGGTCATCCATCTCAAACACAAATTTTCGAACGAGGACGAATAGTACAGCCTGCATGGACGAAACCAGACGCGGTCAAAACAATCAGGAATCAATATTCTCAGTGCGTAGCTGCGTACCTTAAACTCTGCCAATGCAAAAAGCTTTCCTAGGCACGTTTGCGCTCCATCACCGAATGTCATTAAATGACGGTAGCCATGCAGGGTTTCTCTGGCATCGAGCATACCCTCATCCCCTTCGAACCACCGGGAAGGTTTGAATGCCTTTGCGTCAGGGCCCCACATGCTAACAGAGCAATTGAGTGCAGCGAGCGGGATCACGATCACAGTCCCCTTCGGGATGCACACGCTCTCCATGAAGTTACCGGCAGCTGTGCGCAAAGGTTCGCTGAGCGGGATCACGTCGTCTTGCATAGCCTGTTGTAGTCAATTCGAGTAGTTTGTGTTGCATCTGAGCGGGATACGCACCAATCGCGGGATCTCTTTGAGTGGTGCATGGAGGCGAAGAACTTCGTTCACCACAGCGTCCAGGTAGGGAAGCTTATTCGTGAGGTCATCGTATGAGGGGGTTGGCCCAAACTCTAAACACTCGTCGCGAAGCTTCCTCTGTATGTCTGGATTCTGCGCAAGTTCTACTAAAGCCCACTGTGGAGTTGAGAAACACGGTTGGAGCAGTGAACGGTTCGGAACTTACTGTCATGCTCACTGATTAAATGGGAGCAATAGTGAATATCTACTATTCTTTTGCTAGACGAATTCACGTTACCTGCAGTAGTCTCAAAGCCTGCGAGAAGGAGAACCCTTGCCTGGCGGAGACAGAGGTCAGCGTCCCATCGTTCGAAAGAGTTCAATGATTCGTGTACCTCGTCTAGTACTTCTTGTGGAGTCAGTCCCGCGCTCTCACCATATCCCTCAGCTCTCACTACACAACAATTTCAGGGTTGACAATTTCGCAAATGAAAGGCAGAACTCACAAAGCAAACCCAAACATGATTTGTCTCACTGCTCAGCGCCGCCCGTCTCATTTTCCTTGCGTGTCCGCAATAGCATCTCCTGGCATATTTTTCCAACTATCAGGCGAAGCTTTAGGGAGAATCGTATGGCAGGCAATGGCAACTTCAGGATGAAAGGAAAGTTTTGTGCCAATATGATCAAGTTGCTAGGAACATTGGTGGATGAACCAAATGCATTCAGAATGTGCCCAACGTCGGAGTCATTTCCATCGAGTGCGCCGAAGTCATGGGACAGGACGGCTATGCCCGCACTGTCGAGTCTATGTGGCAGGGGATAGATAAGACATCAGCCTAGTAGAAAGGAATGGATATACATACGAGATATGGTTCATCCTGCATAATGTGTCTGAGTGCGCAGGTACGAAACTTTGAAGGAGAACTCAGAAAAGTACCATTGTTGAACATCAATGGTTGCGCAATGAGTTCCTTGGTTCAATTCTATCTCATTGTCCCAGGCAATTGCTGTCTGTAACACATTTTAAGTGAAATTCGGGGTGAATTGGTTAGAGACTGACCTTGTGAGCGGCATCATGGAAAACAGATGTCAAGTTGCGAATGACAGCTGCGGTAAAGGCGGGGTTGAGAGCCTTGCGCTGCCTGACGGATGAAAGAGAATCGCATGGATTTAGCTTGACACGACTTGCAAGTCTCACTTCTACTAACCTTTGGTGACTTTCACCATCGGCCCACAACACTCCTCTTCCCATCTATCAGTTGCATAAGCACGCCGTTACCCTGTAGCTGTACAAGTAAAGAGACATACCACTGTTTGAACGACGATCTTGTTGAATGGAGTTTGGTTATACAACCATGTGTCTCTTGCAAAGAAATGAGATATTGCTTTCGGGTCCCATAATACGACCCTGGACTGTCCAAAGATACCCGGAACTTTGTACACTGGACCATACTCCTTGGCCCAACGTTCGTACAATTCAGTTGTAGCGGTAGAATCTAGCATTATCTTGGCGAAGCCAAACACCCAGCCTGGGCTCTGAGGCCCTCGTATATGTGTTGTTCGTTGTTGTCGGCGATAGACTTGGAGGGGATAGAAGAGCGCCAGTATCACAACCGCGATACGTGTCGTTGAGCCTGACAAGGGCGAGACCAGACAAAGGTCCTTGAAGGCAAGCCAAATATCCCTGGCGCAGGGGTTACTTTGCAACAAACCCATGATATCAATCACTGGCAGTACCCGCTCTCAAATGTTAGTCACAGGATAGCAAAAGGGCAAGTGAGACAAAGCCAGCTCATACCCGTATATGTCTAAACTGGATTTCCAACCAAACGAGAGAAAAGAAGACATTTGCCAGCGGGTGGGCCCAGTCAACTGTTCGCCGAACCCCAATAAATATCCGACTTGGTTGAACTGACCAGCTTCACAGGGTTCAAACAGTCTGTCTATATGATCTTGATGGCTGTGACGGTTGATCCTGACCCCCATGCTTCAAGCTATCTGAAAGACTGGCGATCGTTGCGGTTGCTGGACTTTCGAATTTGTCATCCTGCATGGGATGTCCACATCGTAAGTGCTTCACGCACGGGACAATTTCCAAGTAGAACTGCGGGGAATAAATTCTTGTTAGGGTCTTATGAGAAGGCAAGGATAAAGGTATCAGCATTATCATTTTCATGTACAGGATGGCAAGACAGGTCATGATTACATGCAGGAATTGTGTAGAAAGGATGGAATGGAAGAAAATAATGACCAATTGATGACCAATAACTTCGAACAAGTTACCGCCAAATATTCAACATCAATTTGATCCGCTGAAGACGTTCAAACTCAGGTTGGATCCACATGGTCACAAACATTCTTGGGCCTAAGACGAAGCAAGGCACTCGCCCATTGGCAATTGCAAGCTGAGCACTCTTTCCTTGCAGCTAACCCTCCTGGATCATCGTTAATTTTCATCCACTTCAACCTGTTTATGTCATTTGTCAACTTTACCAGGACGGCAAATATGAAGAATGTCTTCGGCGGCGCGCACTTCACGGTAGCCTTCCAATCGACAGAATATTGTGATGCGTGCCTCTCACTACCTGCGAGTCTATCAAGGGGTACGGATCTGTCCTCATGAAGCTATCGTTTCTGGCGCCTCTAACACGGAAAATGGAATACGCCCGTCGGATCATGTGTGTTGATGCGTCTTCGCAGAATCCTCCGAGAGACCCAACGATTCCCATGTTTCTGTCCGTGGTGCCAGGGAAAATCATTGGAACCTTGGAAGCGCTTGTCATGGCTCCATCGATTCATTTACATTTTCCACGGGAGTACGACCACTACAGTTGACAGGGATATCGAGTCGCTATGCTCACTTCTCACTGGCATTATCAATTCTCAAATTAGCACACATCCCCTCCGCTCGTTTCTTCACAACTTTCTCAAAGAGTCACGGAGCTACGTAGTTCTCCGTCAATGTGTCACCTTGCCTCGGCGTCTCTTACTCCCCGCAATTACAAGCTAATAACATCGAGCCTGTTTCATGATCGGGGGAATCATGCGTGATGAACCATACTAAGTTACAGTACCGAGTCAGTACGATTACAACTTGTATTTTGTCACGTGAAGCACCAGCACTGACAACGTTAATACAGGGCGATGACATCGATGATAAACCACACACTTCGACGAGATACTTTCGTGGGCCTATCATGGCCATATCAGCATTCAACCTGTAAATGCGATGCGCGAAGCTTTTGTGAGATTCCCGATCATTGCCAGGGCCTTAAATCCGCAATCAAACAGCCATTTTTAGAGATACAGCCTTGTGGGGTGGATATAATTTAATATAACAAAGTCGTGATCAAACTGTAGCGAGGGCACAACAGTCTCAAGTATGGATGTCCAACACAGAACAGAAGACTCACTCAGTCACCGTCTACTATCTATTGCCATACAACCAGACGTCATTTTGTACCACCTTTCGACTTCTAGTTTTGGGGTGAAGTAACGAAGCGCCTTCCTTTCGGTATCACCCAAAAATAACTGATATATCTGGCCAGCCAGGCCCAACGGTTATGATACAACGATCACGTTCATACCCGAAATCAAACGTCCCTGTGCCTCATTGTGCAGGAAGTATTCTCACCATCAGCGTAAGACGCCATAGAATGGACAGCAATGCAGTACACTGACTATGAGATATATAGATAAATGCATTACTAGTGGAATTTATTCGGCCAGCAATGTCTTCCTCTACGCAGGACCTCTTACCACAACTTAACCTAGGAAACACGTTTGGCGCACTTTTTATTGGGGTCGCCCTTTCAGCAGTGTTTGTGAACTGTTTCCTCACCATGTAGTATTCAATGCTGAAAACTTGTCGTATCATTCTCACGAATAGTCTGTTTGGTGTGACCAACGTTCAAACCTTTATCTACTTCCAGACACATAAAGACACGGGAATGACGTTTTTCAAGCTGATTGTACGTATATCATGCTGCCCTATTTTTCAATTTAATCATTGATGCTACGCCAGGTTATCTGGCTTTGGTAAGTGTCCCCCCGAGTTATGATTCACTGAACATGTCAATTTTACACTGTACCCCATATTTTAGGATACTTGATGCTCTACATCTGGCACTGATTGTACATTGCGTCTATTACTATTTAGTGACCAACTACGCGAGCTTCAATGCGCTCACAGAAATCGTGTGGAGCTTGAAAGTGAGTTTCCTACTTTGGCACTCTATGCAGCCTGATGACGCTTATGATATTGATGGACTCGTGCAGCTTCAGCTAATAGTCGATGTATGTTGTTTCTTCTGAACTCTGAGATTTACACTAGACATGCATTTAACAGGTTCTCATCGTTCCTACGGTACATCTGTAAGTTCGATGTGCAATGTTACACGCAACATTCTAATTGATGCTGTCTGGTCCCATAGTTCGTATGTCTATCGCATATGGATAGGTATATCATTCCTAATGATGATTTGTTTCTACTAACACGATGAGTCTAGTCAGCAAGGGCCGATCGAGAGTTCTCCCGGCTATAATAATGGTAGGTCTGAAGTCGGTGCTCGATGGTATATCGTTTTGTTGACGCACTGTCAGTGCATAGTCGTGGTTCTATCAGGAGGTGAGTCTGTCGCTGGAAACGCTCTTTACTCGATTCTGAAAATCTGTTCAGGTGTTGCCGTCCGTAAGACTTCAGTGCCACTACCTTTGTTATTAGCTCATCACTCGACGTAATGACAGCTGTCGTGTTGGTGCAGTGAGTCAGACATATACCTAACTTCGCGAAATTGCTGATAGCCGCTAGATATCGATGCCGCTTTTTCCAGGATGTGGTTGCAACCGAGTGGGCGACATACTTGACTTTGGGCGCGGTTACTTTTGATGACATCCTTATTGCATCATCACTATGTTATCTCCTCGCTACTTCCCGTACTGGATTCTCTAGGTGACGAGATGCACTTTGTTCGCTGTCGTGATCTGATATACTAACGCAATCATTTAGTACCGATTCTTTCTTAACAAAGCTCTTGGGTTATATAATCAGTACAGGCTGTCTGACGAGGTATCCCTCTCTCCAACTCACCCCATGCTTGGACTAATATGTCTGCAGTATATGTTCATTAATAGCTGTAATCACTGTGAGGTTCCATCTCTTGCACTGTCCATGATTGAGGCCTCAGACAGCCACCTATAGTGCGCGGTGATGCCGAGGAACTTCATCTTTCTCAGTATTGAATTCTTAGTGACTAAATGTAAGACCAACCCATTGTCTCAGGATCGTGCTAACTAACGGTACGGTTTCAAGTATACGTGAACTCTTTCATGGCACTTATGAACGCACGATACTACCTGCAGGCCGGCGCAGATAATGTGGGTTCTCCCAAATTTCGTGCTGGCCATAACGTTTTCCACCCCGAGCTACGCATTGAGATGTCGCAAGACGAGAAGCTTCAAACATCGCGGACAGATGTATCTGATGATGCAGTGCTCCATACTACTCGACCGATTCAAGCTGTCAAAGTTGGTAATTGTATTATTGTTGATGCAAAAGGGCTAATGGCACGATTTATCTACAGTTGCCAACGACGGGGACGATGCAAATGCAGTCTTTCTCGTTGGCGTGATTCAGTGGGCATGGATTATTATTTGTGCGTTTCCTCGCGAGTAGCGCTCACAAATAACTTATGGGTTCGTAGTAAATCATCACTCCCTACCCGCCATGTTTACGGAAGGACTTCAATTGCTGGCGATGAAACATCAACTTTCTTGCACGTCATACCCTGATCCTGTACGTTGGTCCGTGCTCTTCCACTCAGCATTTTTGCAATTCAGTGGTTGCGGCGGTATCCAGCTTGGCGAAGCCAGATACCCAACTTGGGCCCTGAGCGCTTGAGCCCGAAGCCACATGCGTGCTGTTCATTGATGATCTTTGGCAATACACTTGCGATGAGGCTTAAAATGAGTCAGCGCTGAGAAATCCATCAGCCGCACGACATAGATATCCGTCGAATCTAACCGAAAGTGCTTCACGCACTGCTTGTTTCGAAGGAAATGAATGGTTCCGAACAGGGCTAAGCGTTACATGGGGAAGAACAGCACCTAGATACTGAGCCCGAGATCCTTTGAATCAGAATCTGATGGTTTTCTGTAATGGTTTGTAGTGTGTTGTATATGATATGGCAGGCGATAATGAGACAATTGAGGTGCTACTTAGCAAGGTTCGTCGAATGGACGTCGCTACTGGGTGTGCATGTGATCATAACAGGTTCGTTGTGCGCACAATGCCGAAATGAATGGTGATCGTGATGTGAACCTGCTCACCGACAATTATTAGCACTGCCTTGTGGGATCCATGCTGCGATACACAGCCAAACTTGGCCAGATTGGTGATCACTACAGGTATTATATCTCAGTATATTTGACCTTCGTGTATGTGTGGGTCCATCATTAATGATATCGATGGCATCCTGATTCTTCCACACAAGATTAACATTTAATGTTTCGACTTGCGCGTCGACGGTCCAAGGTACGGTCCAGGAGACACAAGTGGGTTATGGCCCCTCGCCTCACCCCTCCGGTGGACGAGTTGCCGCAAGTAACACATACGTCACTTACGTACGTGATTACAAGTCTTAGTCTGTACAGTTGCCATCGTGGGACAAAGCACCTTCGCATCAATGGCATACTATCATTGCTGTACTTATACATCTTATACATGCTTCTAGTACCATCAGCGTTCAGCGTCAGAAGTCATGATTCTCTCACAGAACAAATGGCAGTGTGATTATTCTGGGTTATTATATAGTATGTGAACCTACTACTGGTGGACTCGTTTAGTCAACAACAATGTCTTCCTCGGCTCAGGATGCCATTCCACAACTTGACCTGGGAAACACGTTCGGGGCACTTTTTATTGGCGTTATCCTGGCAGCAGTGTTAGTAAAACTATTTGTTCATCATGCAGTCAAAAGCTGAACGTTTCCTGCGACCTTTCGTACTAACATACCCCATGGAAAACAGTCTCTTCGGTCTAACCAATGTTCAAGCCTTCATCTACTTGCAGGCGCATAGAAGCGCGGGGATAACATTTTTCAAGCTGGTTGTACGTCTATGCTGCCTTGGTGTTGGTTCCAGTCTTGATGTCATGTTCTGGCAGATTACCTGGCTTTGGTGTGTCCTCTCGATTCGCAATTATTGATCGCGTAGAGATTGTTTCCCAAACTTTTAGGATATCTGATGCTCTGCACCTGGCATTGACAATCCATTGCGTCTACTATTATCTGGTAATAACTATGCAAACTTCGGCGTGCTCACGGAAATCGTATGGAGTCTCAAAGTGAGTTTCTATAATGGCCCTTTATGCAGCGTCTAATGGGCTGGGACAGCTTCAGTTAGCAATCAACGTAAGTTGTGCTTCCGTTCTTTGTGACCCACCCAACAATACGCACTGCACAGGCTCTCATCGTTCCTACGGTACATCTGTAAGTTCAGTCACTGTTACTACATACAACACTCAAGTCATGTCATGGTCGACAGTTTGTATGTCCATCGCATATGGAAAAGTGATTATTCCCCTACTATCGTGAATTTGCTACATCTACTGAATGAACCTAGTAAGCGAAGGTCGATCAAGAGTTCTCCCGACCATATCATTGGTGGGTTTGCAATCGGGGTTCATTTGTGTTTCATTGTGTTGATTCACTGTCAGGGTGTGGTCTTGGTACTAATTTCAGGCGAGTTTGTTGCCTGCAAATGTTGTTCATCCGATCTTAAACCTCCCCTTAGTTGGTGTCATCCGTGAGATTTCAACAGTGTTACTGATATTGTTATTGGCTCATCGTTTGACCTAATGACAGCCCTCGCTTGGGAGCAGTGAGTCAGGCAGTTCCGTAACTTCAGGAGGTGCTGATAGCGAGTAGATATAGGGTCAAATTTTTCGAGGATTTGGCTAAGGCCATGTGGTCAACATATCTGTCTTTAGGAGCAGCCACTTTTATCGATATTATCATCACATCATCGCTATGTTATCTCCTCGCCACTTCACGTACTGGGTTCTCTTGGTACAGAGCAGATTCCTTATCAGGATCTGACATGCTGATGCAGGTTACTCAGTACCGATTCATTCATAACAAAGCTCGTGGGCTATACCGTCAGTACTGGTTGTCTGACAAGGTATCCTCCCTTCCAGCATGCCCTATAGTGCTTTGACTGATATTTCGACAGTATTTTTTCGGTGTCAATCATAATCACAGTGAGTGATATCTATTATGTTGTCTACATCTGAGGTCTCTGTTGGTTTCCTGCAGTGTGCTGTGATGCCGACAACCTTCATCTTCATCGGGCTTCAATCTTTAGTGGCTAAATGTATGATCAACAACACATTCTTTCGTGACCATGCTGACCAGCTGTATATACTGTTTCAAGTACATGTCAACTCGTTTATCGCACTCCTGAATGCGCGATACTATATGCAGGCCAACGCAATTGTCGATCCTCCCCAACTTTATGAGCACCACGGCGTCTATCGCCAGGAACTCCACACCAGTGGATCGCAAGATGAAGAGTTTCACAAATCCCAGGGGAACCCTAAGGATGAGGTACTGCATATCACGCAACCTATCCAGGGTATCATGGTTGGTGGTTGTGTCATGGTCGATAGGAGAAGGCTAATTGACACATCTTAGCCACAGTCAACGACATCGACGATGGAAATGAAGTCTCTCTCGTCATTAGTGTGACATGTTAACTATGTGTCTGATCAAGAAATGACACCTACAGAAACATAGTTTGTGTTCTAAAGTTATCAGGGCGGCGCATCTACAACGGCCGGCGGGAATGGCGGACTGGTGGGGGTAGGCATCACATCAGGTTTTGAAAGCGGAAGAAAGGACTAACTTAGTCGACAGGGACTTTCTTTACTGTTCATCGTACGGTTATGTTTATTGGTTTTGCGAGTACAGTGTACAATTGGGCATGACTTTATCGTTTGAATGTTCAGCCACAATAATAAAGCTGCGAGTAACTTTTACAGTAAACGTCAATAAGGTAATGAGCAAGCCCATGCTCCCTTCTAACCATGATGCATGACCCGGCATTTAGATATGCGATTGGTATGTGGACAATCTTCCTGCGCGCAGAGTCGTCAGACTTCAGAAATGGTGACATCTTTTTGGTCTCTCACATTCTCTCAAGATCGTGCTGACCAACGGTACGGTTTCGTGAACTCTTTCATGGCGCAGATAGTGTGAGTTCTTTTGAATTTCGTGCTGGCCATGACATTTTCCACCCCGAGCTGTGCATTAAGATGTCGCACGACGAGAAGCTTCAAACATTAAGTGGTTGTCATTATTTGATGCGATACCAGGCCCCAATGACTTTCCGTAATGGTGGTGACATTGTATAAGTAGTATGATATAGGAGAAGATGATGAGAGGTGTTCATGCTACTCGGCGAGGTCCGTTGCATGGATATCATGACACGTCACAGGTGAGGATAATTTGCGAAACCTGGTCAGATGAGATGGATCGTGATATGATGAGAACAAGACAATAATGTGCTCATCGAAATGAATTTGAAAACGTCCTTCCTGTCATGTGACTCGATGTTTGGGTTCGCCATTCAAAGTCGTTTATTACGTTTATCATTACTCCAACGCACGAAACGCAGGCAGAGTGCATATCACACAAAACATATCTGTGACCTGCGTTGTGTCAGCGTCTCGTGTCAGCAAGACATGCCTTCGTCGACACACACCATGCCCAAGACTCCACACTAATACTTTACAGAGTCAGTCACGGTGACACCAAAAAATATCACTGCGATTGCGAGAGATTATGCAGGAGCTAGCTGCACCAAGTACTTTATGGAACGTGGAGACGACATGCAGAGCTCGGAGGTCCCGATACGAAGGGGACGTGTTCTCTGAAGAAAAGAACGCATACTAGGATGGCCAGCTTTGCTGTGCAACGTGCTTCCCGGGGCTGTTCTACTAATGGTAGCGCGTTAGATATTCGTAGGTCTCTGGATCGGGACCCACAACCTGTCCAGCAGGATGACCAGGATCATGATCCTGGTATAGAGGTTCGTCTTGTTTTGCTTGTGCTTTCTACTACAATGACTTATGATTTCATTGAACCATTTTGCAGGTTACGACGCGTTCACGACACAACGACAGGTGTCCACCCTCCCACGTTACCTCCTCAACATGTGGTTCCACAACGGATTCACTACTATCAGACCCTAATGACAGCGGTGTTCTCGCACCCCCAGATACGGACCAGTGTGTCCTTAAGGAGGATTTATAGTGAATACTCACATGAAGCGTCACTCCCACATGTTTGTCTTGTGGACGCAAACAGCCAGTCTAGATGACGAAGACACCGGGCTGAGTACAGAAACCGTCGCACGGCTCAAATTCTCACTGCAGTTCACGCCTTCGCTTGAGGGGGATTACCACTGCCGCCGTCAAGCTCTACCTTCCACATTCAGCTTCAAACAAGGATACGCAAGATAGTCATCGAGCTTCATGGTTGGGCGCCGGCATGCAATGCTATGTCTCGCAATGTTTCGAAATGGCTGGATACAAGGCATACAATCGCACATCGTTCAAACCAGTGAGTCTTGGACCATACCGCGAGTTCTTGTACTGATCGTATGCTTGCCAAAGCATGTAATTTGTACGTTCCAGGTGCAGAGCCATGTACTTCATCGCCTTACATCACGACGGTTAACGGTATATCATTTCAATGTGATTTTAAAACCGTCGAACGACAGCAGGGAGCTCGGTAAGGACCGAGAAGCAGTCAGCCTGAACGACATCACCCATCAGAGTAGGCACCAGCAGTGCGGGAAGAGTCGGAGGAAGGCTGAGTCAAACGTTGGTGCACATTGCGATTCTTAAGGCTGCAAGAAGTTTGTCCATCGTGCTCATGAGTGAGTATTCAAGGTTCTTGGGACGGATTTTGTTATAATCCACCGAGACGCACGCCAGCCTTGGGAATCTACGTGTATGTTGACCGGTACGTCATCTTTGATACTTTGACAATATATGCGCCAATTTATAAAGTATGATGGACAGTCGGAATCATCTGCGGACGTGTACCAAACCTGCTCCGAGTCATCTATGAATACACAAGCTCCTGCGGCCCGCTACATCGGCCTTTCCAACGAGCGTGCTCGACGTTCGAGTTCACCCAACACGCACGGCATCTACTGCTCCGTCGCCCCTTAGTTCGTACTCAGGACCAACATATTCCGGGGAAAACTCCAAACGTGCAGACCTTGTCGAGCATCACGGGATGTCACCCATTCCAGAGAGTGTCTCACATCCTGACATGCTCTTGTTTGCTCTCAGACGTTTCAAAGATAAATCATCTGGAAGATCGAGCTTATTTGCATTTGCAGAGATTTCCGATATCACTGCTTTTCAGCTGGACGGGTAGGAAAGAGCGAAATTCTGTCATTTCCGTCCTATTCTAATCATTCATCACAGTTCATGTCTCTATCAATGTTCTCATTGTTCGATATCATCTGTTGTGTCATCCTTGTGCTTTATCGTACGAACGATTGAACAGTTGCAAATTCGTATCTGTGCGAAGGTATAATCAGTTGCCTGATTGGCAGGGAGTTAGATAAGAGATAGACGCCTGTTGTGCCACAAGCTATAAGAACCCTTGCTTCGTGTTCGTTCGCTGTCATATTTCGCCACGACCTCGTTCTGTACCGCCGTACAGCTTTCACGATAAACCAAATCACCTCTACTTCAGGACTCATATCAAGATCTCCCAATGGCAACCATCGAAGCCCAGGACCTCAGAGAAAGAATCGGGCGCTTTCGAGTTCTGATCATGGGGAGAGCAAACGCAGGCAAAACGACTATCCTTCAGAAGGTCTGCAACACCACCGATCAACCAGAAATTACCGATACCCAAGGAAACAAGGTGTGATGATCTATGTCATGCACGCCTCTATCGCTGATCAATTGTGGGTAGATTGATACTACCATCGTGAAATCCTCAATCAAGGTGCGTGCATCATTTGCTCTGTGGGTATACATGCGCTGACGGATGTTCAGCGAGGAAATCACGATATCACGAACGAAATGGTTTTCAAAAGTAATCCCGGTTTCGTATTCCACGACTCATGCGGTTTCGAAGCGGGATCTGAAGAAGAATTCAAGAATATGAAGAACTTTATCTCAGAACGGGCACATGCGACAAAATTGGAGGAGCGAATTCACGCCATCTGGTAAGTAGCCCCCTTCTGACATTACGCGCGTTTTGATTGCCATCAGGTATTGTATTCCGATGGACGACCATTGTCGAACATTCCAGCGATCAGAAGAGAAGTTCTTCCGGGAGTGCGACACTGGCCATGGTGAGCTTGCGATTTCATTGTCAGTTGCCGTGCTCGGGCTAAATGATCGATCTTTAGTTCCTGTGGTCGTGGTGTTCACCAAATTCGAAGCTCTGCGTCCCGTCGCATTTGGAGAAATCAAGAAGCAACTAAAGGGAGTATCGAAAGAAGAACGCTCAAAGAGGATTGCCGAGCGCGTTGAGGAACTTTTCACCAAGACAGGAGTATTGGATCAGTTGGGCAACCCCGAAAATCGTGCGCGTCCTAAGTCCTATGTACGCTTGCAGGGTAAGTGGTTCAATTTTGATTTGTCCCATGTCAAAGTTGACATCAGCAACCATGCTAGAGATGAATAAAGCGGATATGAACTGCAACGCTCTACTGGAACACACCACTTTCGCACTAGACAACGAAGAATTGCGGTTGTGCTTGGTGTCGACACAAAAATCAAACATGGAACTTTGCATTAAGTGTGCCATCGCGTGAGTCTCAGATTTGCAAGTCACATGATTTTGTTTCAACATTATCTAGAACACTCGTTGATCGTGCGTATAAGCAAATCGAAGATGGAGCCTATCAGCATGATATTGCTAAGTGGTTTCCGCATCTCAAAGTAAGATGAAGATTCATTCAATCTGACAATCACTGGTAATGGTTCTGACGGATGGTAAATACCGAAGCGCTAAAACTGTACACATTCTGATATGTTATCCTTGATTGTAGTTGTTTTTTGATAACAGCTGGTAAGATTGTGGCTTAAAAAGCTAAGCAAGGACAACGCTGATGCCTTACTGGTCTGTTTTTGTTCTTGTTTTTTTTGTGTCCATTTGCTGTTGCTCGTCTGTTGACAGTATGTGAGTGACTTGATTGCTTCCAGTCCTCGACCCATGCTCATGATCCCTATCCCTCGCTGCTGCTCGCCTGTTGACAGTTTGTAAGTGCCTCGATGGATTCTAGTCCTCGACACATGCTCATGATCCTCATCCCTCGCTGCTGCTCGCCTGTTGACAGGACGTAAGTGCCTCGATGGATTCTAGTCCTCGACCCATGCTCATTATCCCCATCCCTCGCTGCTGCTCGCCTGTTGACAGGCCGTAAGTGCCTCGACGGATTCTAGTCTTCGACCCATGTTCACGATCCCCGTCCCTCGCTGCTGCTCACCTGTTGACAGTTTGTAAGTGCCTCGATGGATTCTAGTCTTCGACCCGTGCTCATGATCCCCATCCTTCGCTGCTGCTCGCCTGTTGACAGTATGTAAGTGCCTCGATGGATTCTAATCCTCGACCCATGCTCATGATCCCCATCCTTCGCTGCTGCTCGCCTGTTGACAGTCGGTAAGTGCCTCGATGAATTCTAGTCCTCGACCCATGCTCATGATCCCCATCCTTCGCTGCTGCTCGCCTGTTGACAGAACGTGAGTGCCTCGATGGATTCTAGTTCTCGACCCATGCTCATGATCCCCATCTCTCGCCGCTGCTCGCCTGTTAACAGGACGTAAGTGTCTCGATGGATTCTAGTCCTCAACCCATGCTCATTATCCCCATCCCTCGCTGCTGCTCGCCTGTTGACAGCGGGTAAGTGCCCCGGTGGATTCTAGTCCTCGACCCATGCTCATGATCCCATCCCTCGCTGCTGCTCGTCTGTTGACAGCGGGTAAGTGCCTCGATGAATTCTAGTCCTCGACCCATGCTCATGATCCCCATCCCTCGCTGCTGCTCGCCTGTTGACAGTACGTAAGTGCCTCAATGAATTCTAGTCCTCGACCCATGCTCATAATCCCCATCCCTCGCTGCTGCTCGCCTGTTGACAGCGGGTAAGTGCCCCGATGAATTCTAGTCCTTGACCCATGCTCATGATCCCCATCCCTCGCTGCTGCTCGCCTGTTGACAGTTTGTAAGTGCCTCGATGGATTCTAGTCCTCGACCCATGCTCATGATCCCCATCCCTCGCTGCTGCTCCCCTGTTGACAGGACGTAAGTGCCTCGATGAATTCTAGTCCTTGACCCATGCTCATGATCCCCATCCCTCGCTGCTGCTCGCCTGTTGACAGGACGTAAGTGCCTCGATGGATTCTAGTCCTCGACCCATGCTCATGATCCCCATCCTTCGCTGCTGCTCGCCTGTTGACAGGACGTGAGTGCCTCGATGGATTCTAGTCCTCGACCCATGCTCATGATCCCCATCCCTCGCTGCTGCTCGCCTGTTGACAGCGGGTAAGTGCCTCGATGGATTCCAGTCCTCGACCCGTGCTCATTATCCCCATCCCTCGCTGCTGCTCCCCTGTTGACAGGACGTAAGTGCCTCGATGGATTCTAGTCCTCGACCCATGCTCATGATCATTATTCCTCGCTGCTGCTCCCCTATTGACAGGACGTGAGTGCCTCGATGGATTCTAGTCCTCGGCCCATGCTTATGATCCCCATCCCTCGCTGCTGCTTGCCTGTTGACAGTACGTAAGTGCCTCGATGGATTCTAGTCCTCGACACATGCTCATGATCCTCATCCCTCGCTGCTGCTCGCCTGTTGACAGGACGTAAGTGCCTCGATGGATTCTAGTCCTCGACCCATGCTCATTATCCCCATCCCTCGCTGCTGCTCGCCTGTTGACAGGCCGTAAGTGCCTCGACGGATTCTAGTCTTCGACCCATGTTCACGATCCCCGTCCCTCGCCGCTGCTCGCCTGTTGACAGGAGGTGAGTGCCTCGATGGATTCTAGTCCTCGACCCATGCTCATGATCCCCATCCTTCGCTGCTGCTCGCCTGTTGACAGGACGTGAGTGCCTCGATGGATTCTAGTCCTCGGCCCATGCTTATGATCCCCATCCCTCGCTGCTGCTTGCCTGTTGACAGTACGTAAGTGCCTCGATGGATTCTAGTCCTCGACCCATGCTTATGATCCCCATCCTTCGCTGCTGCTCGCCTGTTGACAGGACGTGAGTGCCTCGATGGATTCTAGTCCTCGACCCATGCTTATGATCCCCATCCCTCGCTGCTGCTTGCCTGTTGACAGTACGTAAGTGCCTCGATGGATTCTAGTCCTCGACCCATGCTTATGATCCCCATCCTTCGCTGCTGCTCGCCTGTTGACAGGACGTGAGTGCCTCGATGGATTCTAGTCCTCGACCCATGCTTATGATCCCCATCCCTCGCCGCTGCTCGCCTGTTGACAGCGGGTAAGTGCCTCGATGGATTCTAGTCCTCGACCCATGCTCATAATCCCCATCCCTCGCTGCTGCTCGCCTGTTGCCAGTTTGTAAGTGCCTCAATGGATTCTAATCTTCGACCCATGCTCATGATTCTCATCCCTCGCTGCTGCTCGCCTGTTGACAGGGCGTAAGTGCCTCGATGGATTCTAGTCCTCAACCCATGCTTATGATCCCCATCCCTCGCTGCTACTCGCCTGTTGACAGGCCGTAAGTGCCTCGATGGATTCTAGTCCTCGACCCATGCTCATGATTCCCATCCCTCGCTGCTGCTCGCCTGTTGACAGCGGGTAAGTGCCTCGATGGATTCTAGTCTTCGACCCATGTTCACGATCCCCATCCTTCGCTGCTGCTCGCCTGTTGACAGGACGTAAGTGCCTCGATGGATTCCAGTCCTCGACCCATGCTCATGATCCCCATCCCTCGCTGCTGCTCGCCTGTTGACAGTTTGTAAGTGCCTCGATGGATTCTAGTCCTCGACCCATGCTCATGATCCCCATCCCTCGCTGCTGCTCGCCTGTTGACAGCGGGTAAGTGCCTCGATGGATTCTAGTCCTCGACCCATGCTCATTATCCCCATCCCTCGCTGCTGCTCGCCTGTTGACAGCGGGTAAGTGCCTCGATGGATTCTAGTCTTCGACCCATGTTCACGATCCCCGTCCCTCGCTGCTGCTCACCTGTTGACAGTATGTGAGTGCCTCGATGGATTCTAGTCTTCGACCCGTGCTCATGATCCCCATCCCTCGCTGCTGCTCGCCTGTTGACAGCTTGTAAGTGCTTTGATGGTTTCTAGTCCTCGATCCATGCTCATGATCATTATTCCTCGCTGCTGCTCCCCTGTTGACAGCGGGTAAGTTCCTTGATGGTTTCTAGTTCTTGACCCATGCTCGTCATCCTCATGCCTCCCTACTACTCGTTTATTGACAGAACGTATGGACTTTTGACTGTTCCTCGTCCTCAACCCATGCTGACAATCGCTGCTTTTAACCTGTTGACAGAAGGTCAGTTCCTTGATGGTTGTCCGTCTGCAACTCATGTGGACAGCTCTTACACTTACTTTTTTTTTTGGCAGGTGGTGCGTGTCTTGATCATATTTTGTATTCAGATGATGGTCAATAGTATAATGATGTTCACTCGTTTTCATAGCCTGATGTAAGCGTGTTCTATTCCATCAGATGAGCCGAATTATCATTACTCATATAATGCTTAGTTCGTTGAGTATCCCCCCTTGATAACTTATTTTCCATGTTCATTCATCTTGCATATTTTTGTGTCCTATGCAGAATGTGAGTCGTTTGACCTTCATAATGCGAAGCGTTAATCTCAATCATTTTGACTCACTCTGTCGATCTGTAGGATGTAAGTCTCTTTCAATCGCCAATCATTTTAGCCAGATAATCTCTTGCGTTCTTCACGTGTTCACAGAATGTGTGTTGATCATATCCTGTCTGACATCATGTTACTCCACTGACAAACAATCTCGTCTAGCTCGTACGTCCATGAATGGTATTCGCCAGTATATAGTGATGCTCATCCGGTTCCAACCCCTGACAGTTTGTAAGTTACCTGAGCACAGCAGTCATTGTCTACAATCTGGTGGTTGATTATTCACAACCATTACGTCGACCAAATAGAATGTGCGTCTCTGTTATTAATCAAATGCCAATTTTCCACCTCATAATTCTGACATCCCTTTCCCGCAGGGGGCAAGTACTTTCCTCCGTGGAGTTGATTCCGATACCCATACTTTCAACCTATGGCTAGGCATATACCCGCCGAGATGATATTATCCGCGTCCTTCAGTCCTTGGTAGGTTGGCTTCCCTCCGCATTGATTCCCAGCACTATACGAGTGTGCAACAGGCTGTAAAGGGTCCACTGTTCACTTCTGCTGCGAACAGAATGATTCAGACTGGCATCGGTTAGTTTCTCACCACATGAACGGTTGTAGTCTTAATCACAGCAAGCAGCTACCATTATCGTCCTCGAATACTCTGCGTTTCTCCCGCACGAGTCGAAGGGCTCAGAGTTCGTCGAGTCTGCCGTGGACTACTACCTGAAATCTCCGACGGCTGCTGCAGTGGAGAAAGGAGCGAAAGAGATTTTTCGTCAAGACTACCATGGAAAGGAACTGGAAAAGAAGATTCTCGAGTTCATCCTTGAAAATCGCTTGTGTACGTCCCTCGTCTCGTTGTGAACCTGGAAGTCGAAGTTTACCAAAAGCCTGCAGCAAAAAACTTGACAGAAAAGAAGTAGATGATGTTCGGGCCAAGCTCCCTGTTTT